TCTTAACAGACCATTATTCAATTTTAGAGATTAAAGCGCAAGATATATGCTTATTCGTTTTTAGACATTCACTTATTTTCATTTAAATTGTTTTTAATGAATACTTTCGTATGCGCAAAAATGAGACTTCAAACGCGAAAAAGAGGCTGATAGCCCCCCAAGATCCCAGTATAACATCGATTTTCAAAATGAGCACCCTCGGATTGACCAGAGTTGAGATGTGACTTATATTTACCTATGTATGAACATGAACATTTACCATTATGAAACATTATCTTTTCAGTGGTGCCTTATTCTCTGACTCGAAATCAACACCCTCGAATTGACCAGAAGAACTTCTATGCTATAGGTTGTGAAGTCTTTGGTATGCTGATGTACAATTGTAATGATGTGATGATGAAAAAATTGACGTACGATCAGCAATAAAATGTTGAATTGGCAAAAGATGATGGAATATAAAAACTACTTTGTCATACATTTGAGAGGACGACCATAAATTTTCAATCTTAAATAATCAGCACTGAGGATAACTTATTGAAGATGACTTTATCTACAAACGGATAAAATCAATACTTGTAACGAACCGAAATTTACGTTATCTGCTCAAAAAGCATTATTCTAAACTTTTCTTTATGTTAGCCTGTCTTGTGATTTCAACCTATCAGAAAAAACATGCTCTGGTGGAAGATTCGTTTTATAATTGGAAGTGGTTTTAAGAAACTTATCTAATTCAAGAAATTTAAACGGGTTGGAATTGTATTTTGTGCACTGAAGAATCTGTTAAATGAAACAATATATTTACAAAAATAAAAAGAAAGCTACAAAAGGCTGAAATACGATTTGAAATTATTTAATGAAGTTGTTTAATCGATGTTATGAAGTCAATCAATGGAATATGCACGAAATCGCTGGTAAATATTTTCAAAAAATTTAATCATGGCAAAGACACACGAGGCAATAGATGTCTTCTTATACTACCAACAATGAGATGTGAGGCGGGAAGAAAAACTTTTGCTTTTCAAGGAGCGACAGTTTATAACAGCCTACCATGTGACGTCAGAAATGAAAAGTTATTTGTCAATTTTAAACGGAGAATAAACGCTCGCTATTTTTGAGATTCTGAACCTTTGGTCCTTTTATATTAAAAACTTCAATTTTCATACGACCCTTGTTGATAGCAGTATCATTTTTACTGTAAAGGTTATCATGTATAAATATATTATATTATTATGTACCAAACAGCAGAATCAAAACAATTTTAATACTTTAATGGATTGCCTGACTTAGGTCAGTGATAAATCAGTAAAAAAATTTAGGTATAGTTTGAAACTGAAATTAGTAGGATGAAATGAAGACACTAAGCTCTAATCCATTTTCGCTTCCAACAGCATTAACAAATACTATACAATGATGTTCGCAAAAGCCAATCTGAAACTAGATAGTGATTAATAAACATTCTCCTTAAGAAATAATATCTCCTTAAGATAGTGATTAATAAATATAAATTTATCTTTACTATTTTTAGTTCTATTCATTCATATTTTCTTTAAGAATATGACGTTTTTGCAATATGAGCAGAAGCATTGTTTTGTATTTTACAATCGGCCAGCAAACAATAGAGCGCTGCTTGGTTATGAATTATAAGCAAAGTAGTTTCGTTTATGGGCCGAGAATTTATCTCTTATTTGTGGATTAAACACCACTCTACAGATTCAAGAAAGAATACACTCATTTTTTATAAGAACCAGTAAACTGAGGATCAGGTGGGTGGTTCTTAATTTTTCCACAACTTGGAGGCTGGGTTGTTCTTAAACTGTTTATGTTTTATTAGGGGCTAAGCGAGGGGTTTCTAACATACGGTCCTCGGGCGAGATGTGGCCCGCGAGGGCATATTCCGTGGACTATTCTAAGTCAATAAATTTATTAATCATTTGGTCCTTGAGCTATGTCTGTGGAGTGAATCTCCCACTTTTCATAATAAATTTTTAGGCATACTTTACATTAGTAGACATACTGTCTCATTATTAGGCATAATATCCCGTTATTATAAGCAGACGTTTCTATTACGAAGCTGAACAGAACAAGTCAAATCTACAATCTAAGCATGCAAATAAAATTTACATGAAATTCTTCGCACGTCAACTATACAAGTTTGATGTGCGATGTGAATAAATTTTCTGCAAACAAGAAATGTAACACATTGATAAAACATTTTCATTTATAATTTTTCATGTAACTGTAATTATCAATCCATTTACTGTTAAATACAAGATTTGCCAATGATTTACAAAATCATTCATCTTGCCCGCCTGGCAGTAGGCAGATTCTGTCTATAGCACACTCAAAAGTAACTTGGACCCAGGAGGGAAACTTCACTATTTTTATTAAGGGGGTATGAAGCTTAGATGCTCGATAAAAGGGCGTGTCATGCTTGGTGAAAGGGCGTGTCATGCATAAACTTCATTTTTAGGGCACATCGCCTCACGGGCTGAAATCATCGGGGACTCCGAAAGAGGGTCATTAAATATGTTAGGCCTTTAGACCCAGGCTGTTTGTTTACCGTGAAAAAATATGCTTCTAGTTTTTCCGGCATTGGCTATAGACATTTGTTTCCGATTAGCAAGCATTTGTAAGGCCGGCTTTTTCTATAAAAGAAAAATAGTTATCACTCACGCTACGCCCCTGCCTCAAGCAAAAAAAGTTTTTTATTGGAAATTTTTCACAGGTATACCTATCATCAAAGCTCAATTTTCGTGTTCTCATAATCATGGATATTGTTCAGAAATAGAAGAAACTCGAAAGTTTTTGACAATTCATATCTTAATTACAATTCCTTGATAAATTTTCTATTATTTCCTGCTTGAAATGTAGGCTTAAATCTTTCTGTTATTTGTTACAGCCATTTGAAATTTTTTAGTTACTTAATTTTAGCAGCTTTAGCATTTTTTGGCGAAGGGTACAATACTTTCAGACAATAAGTGTAAAAACTTAAGAGAATTTCGGGGCACAACACCCTATGAATGTATGATGAAAGATTCATAAATTTGGAAAATAAATTATTGATTGATTTTTCTCAACAACGTATTCCGAGATGGCATATCCTTCATGCTTTGATTTATGATGCTTCTAAAATTGTCAGGGTTCCATGGGCTCCGAGGCAGGATGGAAAGGGGGGTTCAAGGGAATATTAAGCAATCATAACAAAAGACTTTGCAAAGAGCTCCCTTGTTTTGCAAAAAGGGGGGCTGCTTGCCCTGTGCTAATTCCCTTCTTGCATCAAACACACTTTACTTTCCGTCTATAATTTCGCTATCGATCAATACTTCGGACCCTATTTCTGCATCTCAAGGCGAAAATATACATGTGCACAACGAGCTCGAGACGAAAGACAGAAATGTATTTATGTTGCTGTTGCTTGCCTCGTTTCTATTTTATTTTCCCAACTGGGCGGATATTGTAAAAAAGATGGGGAGAGAAGACCATAAATTTAAAAACAACGCTGGGGCAAAAGTAGCAATAAAAGCGCGACCTAAACAAAATTTCCTTATTTGCCCGACCGATATGCTGGCAGCCATAAATTTGCCCGACAAAATCTGTTTTTTTGATGATTGGGGGTGCAGCACCACCCCCTATACCCCCATACCCCCCAGCAGTTTCGCCCCTGGTTGGATCTGGAATAAGCAGTACAGTCTCTATCAATTCTACCCAAAGGGAGTGTTCAGGCTCAATTTGCCGAAAATGTGGGTGGGTCATCCTTTATTTACCGACAAGTTCGGAATTTCATGGATAAAGCACCTCCAGAGTACAGCCCCACTAATTCGGGGCTCGTGATGGTGATCTGATGATATTCTGAAAAAACATTGTGTACCTAACTTGAATTCAAATAAATTAACACTTGCAGCTAGCAAAATGATTCATTAATATTGTTTCCTAGTTAACAATTTTTACTAAACTAGATGCAGCTTCTTCAAAACACAGGACAATGCCGCGTGATTTTGTGGTCGAAAAACACTAACAGTTGTTTATATCACTCATTGACATTTGACTAACTCTTTGTGAGAAAAAAAATTGATTTACTCACCAATTTGCTGGTTGTTTTTCCAATTTGACATAACTCCACCAATGCTAAAGTATGAGTAAACTAGTCTAACGTCTTCAACGGAGATATGTACTGCTTTCGGAAGCTATTCAAAATGGCCGCCAAAACAAGATTCAAATTACTGCGCAGTGGCTTCATTTATGTCTTCCGCGCTTCCGAATGGCTGCATGCTGCACATTGAAATGTAACGTTTCTCGTGAACTCGTGAATTGATGATGCGATGACGCAGTCGGTAGCTGTTGAAAGGGGGGTGGGGAAATTAAAGTCTCAAAGGTGCCCCTAGAGCAAGCTATATGACAGGATATGGCAGAATACCTAATTCTTTGCATGAAATTACTTTGGCAAACAAAAAACTTGGCCATTCCTATAATTTGATAAAGAAACGACAACATCCAAATAACCAGCCTAGAGATGCAATCTCTTGCTAGCAAATCGCCTTTAACTGTTTTGAATTGCAACGCTTTTATCCAATACTTCAATAGCATGATTAGAAAAACGGTACGTTCCTAGAGTGCAAGTGTGGACGCAGAACGAATCGAAGGGGGAGCAGTTCAAAGGCAGGATCAAGAAGGTTCTCTTTCTCTTTACTGGCATTGACTATAATCTCGGGTACTAAATATTGAAAAATATTAACGCATTGCTTCCCTTATGCTGTTATGTTCATGTATAAGCTAATTTGTGATAATATCTCGGAAATGTTTAGGATACCTTATTGTTATTCTATTTAACTGCCCCATCGCTCCAACTCAAGGAAATGCTCCTTCTTGGCGCGATCGATTTTATTTTTTGGATTGTAACAATAATGTAGGCCCGAGGTAGTCAATTTGACAAAGTCCATACCGACATCATGCTCACATAAAAATCTTTCATCGAAAAGAAACATCACCAGAAAGAAATCATCCAAAAGCGCAATGTTTATAACACTTACTACCAACGTAACTCAACTACAAGTACATAAAAAAATTACCCTACAAAAATACAATCTTACAAGATATATGACAACGTGCATTTAAAAAATTAGATTGAGCAAAGTGTCCCAATTATAAAGAATTATATCACAGTTTTCATTTATTATTACAACATTGTTTCTCGAATAGAACATTACCAATGCCTTATGCAAAGACGGCAGTCTATATTGTTTAAAACTTATCAAACATATTGATATTAAAGAAGGCTAACAATACATCGAAAGTATGTTAAATACGAGAGTAAAAAATCGGACGGGCTTGATTTTCTTTACGGTTTAAATCCTAAAATAGGCACAAAGATGTTAAAGAGGAGCAGAAGTAAAAGTAACGATTACGTTAAAGTAAAAAATGTACTAACGGAAGAAATTTCTTCATTCTGAAAAAATTGATGTACTACACTGTTTCCAGTTGCCAATCACATGCAGTTATCAAATATATGCTGAATAAATATTCACGACTTCGAAAAAGCTAGGTATCATTTTGGTCAATTTCATTGAGTTCAACTGTTCTGTAGAAATTAAAACCATGAATGGGGCTCATGTTTCAAAAATATCTCTTGGTTAAAATGACCCTACCAGCTTCTAAGAGTTTTCTGCACTGAAAACTGTTATATGGAAATATATGTTGAAATTTCTAGTGTCAATTTTTGATTAACCACTGTACTAAATATATTGAAACGGGGTAACTGTATCATGTGGAAGGTATCGAAAGACACCATCTCAAAGCATAAACACACTTAATTTTTACTTGATATCAAAGTTGCACTTTTTGATCACAATGAATTGCACTATATTTGTGAGCAAAAGCACAGCTATGATGAACACTTTAAAGCTGAAGAAAGCAAATAGTTGTGCAAAAAACGCCCAATTCGTCATGGTTCTACCGAACAGCCATTAAACATTATTATCTTCCATAGCAAAGCTTCCAATCTCATTTAAAGCCAAGAATATACAAATTTTAGCACATAAGCTGTTACATTTTTTCCATGCTTGTTGCACTACTCTAAAGGTGCATCATTAACCACATACATTATGACAACTTCTTTAGAAAATTTGACGGAACCCAACCTTTTTTCACTCCGATCATACCCAGCCACCATCCTCCATCGTCCTTTTGTAGAATTTTGATATTCTCGCCGGCTCCAAAACTTAGCATTCCTTCATCTTTGTCCCTATATTCTGACAATGTAATATACACATCTTTAGGGGGCGAGCTAGGACGTGGAGGGCCAGGACTTGCACGGTTTGGTGATGTTCTCGGTCTTTCTGGTGGTGTCGGGCTTTTCCCACTTCTTGGCGTCGGCGGCCGGTTCGGTACGAAAGGAGATACTTTGCCGCCAACATTTACAGGAGACGGGCTGGGTTGTCTATGGGGCTCAGATATCTTTCGTAAATTTGGTTTAACAGCGGCAGAATGACCTGTTGGTTTCTCGTCAACTGAGTGTCTTTGAGAAATCGGGCCTCCTAAGTTTTTCCCGGCAAAAGCGGCTCGAAGCTCTTGTACCGACACTGGACTTCCTTTTTCATCCGCGCCAGTCTTTGAGGCAGACCTCGGTTTGGGTACAGGGGAAATCCTCGCTTGGCTAGGAGATTGACTTACATCTTGTTTAGCTAGATCAACATTCTCATATGATTGTGCTATCCAACTTTTTCTGTCTGGTTTCGGTGGAGCTAAAGAGATTTCTAGGACTTCCGTTGTGCTTCCACCTACGCTTGGTATTGACTTTTTAACAGGAACTTTCTTCACTTTCTGTAAATAGGTTGATGGTGCCCATCCCTCTTCAGCTCCTATCTTAATAAACCACCAGCCTGTTGTGTTCTTTTCCAAAATCTGAACGGTTACGCCCTCTTTGAAACTGATCCCTGTATCGTCAGAATTTTCATAAGAGCCTATAGTGACGTAATGTTCAATATCAGATGGCACTATCGGATTATTATTATTCTGCTCCCTTCCATTCTCCTCCACTTCCCTGGCTGGACTTAATTTCCTCACATTTTGATAGATATCATCTTCTGAGAAAACGACTTCTTCTTTTCTTCTGCGATTTAACAAATCTGAAGGCACCCAGCCCTGCTCGCTACCGACCTTTATCAAGGTCCAGCCATTTGGCGCCCTTTCGATTACTTGATATGCTTTGCCTCCCGATAAGCTGAATTTCTTATCACCAATATTTAACTGGTAATCTTGCAATGCAACGTACTCGTGTTCTTCTCCAGATGGCCCACTTGGCATTCGCCTTACAACAGTTCTCTAAAAAATAGGCACTTTTAGAAATAGTAGTGAATGAAGTACGCTTTAATAAGAAGAGAAGTGACATAATTTGAGACAACTAAATTTTGGACCATGTTATCAATTGACAATTTAAAGGTAAGATCTTCAACTTAATTTCACGGGCATATTTATTTTACTCTTGCTTATGGAATTGATTCAAGGAATTTCTTAACATTAATTCAGATCATAGTTTTTGGAGAATATTAATCTTTTGAATTCAGAACATGGCGATTTCAAGGGAAAATGCAGTCACAAACTTGAGAATACAAAACTGTTACTGGAATGCACTGTATATCGATAAAAACATTGATAGCAAATCCGCCCATGGGTTCTACTTGTATTTGACTTACCTTTACTGTTTTCCGTCTTGGAGGAACTGAAACGCCGCTCTTGTCTGGAAAGAAGACATTAAGTATTTACTCTAATTAACGCTTGATCTTGAATAAACGTCGTGCAATTTTTTTAGCTTAAAAAACGCTCTATTGAGCAGGTTCTGACAGATATTTAGAAGACTTAATTTTAAGTAGGGCAATCGTTTCAAGTAAATAGTGTACTGATATGGCAACAAATCAAGTTAGCAGAAATAGCCATAAGTTTCAGAAATGAGAAAAATTAATGAATTGTTATTTCAGCAAATTATCTTGACCAAAAAAAAACAAAATATGACTTACATAAAATTTGATTGCAGTTAACATATAAAAACAGGACCATTACGGTAAATCCAGTTTGAGAATGGTAAGGCACCTGCTCAGGTTTTTAGTCAACACAATTTCTGGGCGCTAAATTTGCTTTTTAGAGCAAAAATATCAAAAGATCTGTTTTGTGCAATAAGCAAAGTGAAACAATCTGTATTAGTGTGGAGTGATCGATGTTGATTTTCGTAAATATTAACTTGTGACATTATTTCCTTGGCCTTTCGATATTCAGATTTCCTTGGCAGTTACCTGTGATTTTTAGACTTTCACGATCTTTTACAATGCCTTCATTCAATTGCTGGGCTCCCAGGTTAAGATGCATTGCGTTTTTCAAATGGGCTCTTGGGGCCCAACCTTTCTCCCCGCGATACCTACAAAGGACAAGATAAATACATCAACTAAAGGCTATTTAGAGCCAAACTTTAACAATTGCCTTCTACTTGATTCTCATACCATTTTAAGAGCCAATTATACCACTAGTACCTTCCCTCTAGGGGCTATTTCAAACACCAAATAATTGTTCAACATATAATTGGATTTATTTTGTAAAGGTGAAGAAGCATCTAAAATAAAGAGAACTTGTGTATTATAGAGAAAATTCCCTCAGAATAAAATAAGCTTCGGGAAAAACACAACAGCGAAGAATGCCTTCAGCGGCCAGCGAGTGTTGAGTAGCGGCAAAGCAAAAAGGCACACTTTTCGCAAAAATAACATACAGCAACAAGGTATCAAGAAATGTCAATATGGTTCTTTCATAACATGCATTTCTGAACGTGCTCTGGTTGAAAACAACTACCCTATAACTGCATCTTTCGAGTTCAGTTGCACCTTAATCTATCTAATTCAGGGTTGCAACTTTCGAAACAGAATGCTTGCTAACTTTCATGGATTCCTAGAATCGATATCTATCACATGACGATATCAGAAGTACACAGACATCTGAAAATGTATTATATTTACTACAAAGTACCTCAGTTCCATACCTTACTTCCCACCATCCGTCCATTCCTTTTTGTATGACGCCAACAATCGCACCCAGCTCCAGATTGATTTCATCGTCCATAGACTTCTTAAAGGGCTTTACGCAAACAAATTTCTCTCTGTAAAATGAATGATAACAACAGTAATAATAAGGACAAAAGAATCAGTGAATCTTATTTATTGATAAAAAATCAAGTATCAAACCTGTATCAAAGTTCCTTAATGGAGATATCTGATCTATCGAAAATGAAACATTATAAATAATGTTAAGACTAATCAAAACTAAATATACGTTTTTTATTAACTAATCTGAATAAATTATTTGCGTATCTTCATACGGTAGCGATCGAAAGCGAAATAATCATTGAATTCAATTCATGACAGCACCCGTTTCTAACTACAGATAGCACAATTGATTTTCTAATTTTGTTCAAGCAGATTAGTTTCTCGATAATTCATTCTTTCGAATTTCTATTGGTCAAATGTATTGCTGATTTTGTCTTTCTCGTTGATGTTTAAGCACTCTTGCTTTAATATTGCTGCCTTGCTGCATATGAATCTTACCATTTTTGGCAACAGCGTTTCAAACTTGATAATGTTATCAGTACGTCTAGGAAATTAAATTCAGGTTCTACCAATACTTTATCAAGTTACATTCAATCTATCGAGATAATATCTAGTTTGCATACCAACTAAGCACTTTTCGACCAGGGCTTCTTCCTGATTTCCATCAACTGGTTCTAAATACGAACATGGAACCCAGCCTTGCTCGTCTTCAAGACTCACAAAAAACCATCCTTTGGAGATAAAAAAAATTGCAAGTGGAAAAGTTGTCCATATTAATACAGAAGAAACGATACTAGTGCATTTTGAAAGGAATGGTTGAGGCGAACGTCAAAAAATCTGTTGTAACAATAATACGGCAGCTTTTAAGACATGTAAGTGTACCATAGTTACCTAAGCAATGAACATCACTCAAGATCGGAAGGGTAACATTTGGAAAAAAATGGGAAATATAGACGAGATACTTAAGTTTTCGGTTTTACAAAATGTTAGCATACCATTGTCACTTTTCTCGACAACTTCAACAACATCTCCAGCAACAAGGCTTATCTGCCCTTTGCCGCACTTTTTGAAATCCGACACTGCAACATACTGCTCCAGCACAACAGGGTCAGAAATGACGTCAGCTTTCTTTTTGCCATTAATTTTTCTACTGCCTTCTCTGAAATAAAGAGATGCTTAGAGTAATTACATGCTATTCTATACGGCCTTTTTGCAAATGTGCAACAGAAAAGAGCTAATAACTATCAAAAACCTACTTCGTTAGGCTGTTTGTCAGACTTCCGATGTCATCCTCTGTCGGCTCAAAAAACGTCGTGACGATCTCGCATTGTAATATTTTGCCTGGTAATTTAATGAGGTTCTAGAAGATAAAATTGGTAGGCCATAAACCATTGAAAATAGTAGCATGGTATTCTGTCTGCTTTACTGAATGAAGAGCAATTGTAGAAAACTGTTTGCACAAGCAGATTCATTAAGGACGGTAAAAGCAGAGTTCAGATGTGAATATGTTTTGGTTTGGTTATTGGAGAAGACTAAAGGAAAAAAGAATTTGAAGAGCCACCCCCAGAATACATCTCATCGTTTTTCTGAAGAAGAAAAGGAACTGTTTAAAACTCGTTTTAAAAGGAAAGTTGAACACTTTATTAGCTGTATGTCTTCTTTTGAATAAGATAATGAAAATGAAAGGTATTCACAAAAAAGTACAGAAAACCCTCTATTTAATCTAGACTGGAAAAACTGTTCTAATTTATATTTTGCAAAGTATTGGCCAAGCAACCTAAATACGAAAGTGACGATACAAGACGATTAAGAAATTAATTTCAGGCTCGCCTGGAAATTCTTGATGTAAGATGATTCAGACGTGTAGTGCATCATATCAAACTTACTGCATAAAATAATTTTGATATATGTTTAGAAATATCGCTGTTTTACTGAAACCTAGAACTTAGATATTCTCTGCCCTATAAACCTGTTTTCAGCAGCTTGTCAAATGCAAGTATGAGCATAGAAAACATTCTTCGAAAGAAAGATTGGTTGAGCAGATTTTTTGAAATTCATTTATAATTAAATGAGTAGCACAGAAATGTGACTGATATTACCTTGCAATATTCTTCCAAAGCAGTCTTTCGTTTTAGAGCCACTTCACGCACGTTGCTCCGGAACAGGACTTTTCCTATGGAACAAGACAAACATCAACTTTAGATCTAAGAATAAAGGCTATAGATAAATATTCATAAATATGAGATATTTAAAATCTTCATAAAATAAATTTGGAACAAGATACTGACTTTTGGGTTAATCAGGGGCGTATTCACAGCAAACTTGAAGGAGGGGCAATTGGTGGTGGGGGCGCTGGAAAATTTTAAAAAATTGATGACGAGAGTACGCTGTATACAACATTTTAGATCCATTTCGGAATTCGGAATAAGCAACAAAACTTTGCAGTAATCCTTGAAGCAAATTAACCTATCGGTCTCAGAAACTTTTTCACCTGATTCTCATTCTTAAAAAGGGGCGCGCAAATTCCAAAAAGGGGCGCCAGACTTGCTTCAACTCGTCGAGGGAGGGGCAACTGCCCCTAATTGCCCCAACCCCCTTAAATCCGCCACTGGGTTTAATACTTCTCGATGATTGACAAAGGCAGTGTATGCTAAAGTGATGGCGAGAACACCTGCAGGTTCCCTGAAACTTTAGTGTTTTGATTTGGAGAGAATATGGATCCCATTGACATAACTGTAAGATCTCACCGCGTCTTTAAGTGACATTAGCCTACAACACCAGAAAATGTGAAGAGCTATCCAATTTTCCTTATCATGAACACTTCAGAATATGTTTATCCTTCTTGATACAGAAGAGAGATATCAATTGAGAACTTATGATTTCACATATTGACACAAAGTGCAGGGTAAATAGGATTACAATCTCTTCGCTAAAAGCAAACGCCTTTGCGAAACAATTGCAGCTTCTACCTAAAAAACTCTTTTAAAAGGAATCTGAAGCCAGTATTCTTTTTTATAGCTGTGATGGTTTAGATCAATTGTAGAAAAACTTCTTTCTTCTAGATTTTTCTTCTTCCTTCAAATTTTCATGACACAGAATGCTTTGTCAAATTCGATTAATTAAGAAACTTTGATTCTGTTGAAATAGGAAAATCTGCAAGAAATACTCTCAAAAAGAGCTTTCTCGAACTCGAGATTCTTTACTTGCAATTTTAAAGCGGAATTTAAACCAAAATCTCCAAGTAAATGAGGCATAACATTTTTAGTTATCTTTCTTTGACAATAGCTCATGAGGTATTTTCTGATTCCTGACAACTTACATACGAAGGCCATTGGTTTTTTAATTCAGTTATACCATGATAAAATAGAAGGTCTGTTATTTCATCTTGGTTATACACACTGTGTATTTCGCAGCATTATTTTGTCGATGACTATTGATCCACTTTTCATATAACGAACGACCAATTTACCTGGCAAGAATGGCAATACTCTGTCAGCAGGGTTTTTCACTCCACCTTCAACTGGGAAAGCGTCAATAAGACTAGTCTGTAAAGAAAATTGCAAATGTTTTCACAATACACTTAGAACAGGGGTGAAATATGACAAATAACGTGCCCTGGATCGGGTCCAGTGTTTGCTATTTAGAGCGGTGTCTGCTAAATAGCTTCCTGTTTTCTAGGGACCCGCTTTTCTAAGACGATTTCGAAGAACTTCAAAGGTAAAATCATATCGATAAACAACAGCAAAAGGCGAAAAGGATGCATAAACAGGAAGACACAGAGAGGGGAAGTGTATCACATCAAAATAAACGCTATTTTTTTAGTTTGGCATAAGAAAAAAACGCTTGTAATCCAAAAGTTAGCTTGTTGTGAGGTAGGAACAAACGGATACTGGGAAGAGACAGAAGTCGAACTGAGTCAAGGATGGCGCTATGGGGTGTAATGGGGGGCAGCTGCCCCCCCCCAAAAAAAAGGTTTCTAATGACACCCCGTCGGCAGCCTGTTATAAGAAAAGGAAAAGAACTGTTGGCACTTTAAAACTGTCAAATGAGGAATTTACCTTTTTTAAAAGAACCGTTAAATTAAAGTTCAGGCTGGCTTTTTGGCTTCTTGAATCATGAGGGTGTTAGCAGTGCAATTGCTAAATATTGTGCTTAAGGGGAGTGAGTTTTCAGGCACCTATTGCAAACAAAGTTTGAAAAATTCAGCATCAAAGCACCTATAGATGGGAAAAACTTTATTCAAAATAACATTTTAAAGTACCTCAGCCAAAGCTGGTTTTTAATCTCTTGACCAATTTGAATCATTTAAAAATGACAAATTTGAAGCCTTGTGTTTTTTAAAATTGTTCTTGCGATTAAAGGTTCTATCAAAATATTTCGCCCAGCTCAATGATATATTAGGAATCTGAAAGACATCAAATAAACAGGGCCGCAGAAAGGGGGTAAAGGGGCAAAATTCCCCAGAGCTTGAAGGGGCAAATTTCCCCAGAGCTTAAAGGCTCTATGGGGGCCGTATAAAGTAATTAATTCAATTTTTAAGAATGGAATTACTCAAACATATCAAAAGTATGCCGAGAATAGTGAAACATTTCAAACAAGAAAGTGGCTGCAAGAAAATGGCTCCTAGAAATATTCATAAATGTATTCTAAGCTAAAACCAAGGGAGTGGTCGGAAAGTTTTTCTGCTCGCTTCGCTCGCAGGGAAGTCTCTTCTGGTGTATTGCCCCCGGGCTTGTGATGATTATTAAATCCATAGCCATTTTCACTGTCAACAAGATATTTCCATGATATTCAGTCAAAGCGGGCCAAGATATCCAAAAAGCAAGATCATACTGTCTTTGGCAGAAACCAAGCAATAAATGCCTCAAACTTGCTTAGCCAGTAAAAGACGTACTGTACAAAGATCTACTAGCTGGGAACACCAAAAAATTTGCATATCAAATTTTTGTAATTTGAAACGCTGCTTTAACGAAATTGTTAGTTTAAAGAATGTATACACGATTTGATTGACGGTTAAAAACATTTTTTCATTCATTTTCAAAACATTTTAAGAGTTAAAGAAACTGTGAAGGGGAGTTCATGGAATATGTCGGCAGTTGTATTATAGTCATCGGCACTTGAATTTTACTAAGATTTTCGGCACATCATGGTTTAGTTTTTAGCGCCACCCCTGAACTAAGTTATATAAAAAATCATAATGCTTCGCTACGCATTGTTTACAAACAAGCATAATCGGCTCTGGTTTTGTATTCAAATTCAAACAAGGAAAGATTACAAAGTAACAGCGACAGGAAGAAAGGAAAGTGACGTTGGCTCATATGTTTGCGGGTGCGTTCTATTAACCGGCCTACGCAAGTAGGTTCACAATGTGGGTGGTTCCTCTATAAAGACGTTATTTACATAATTTTTGGGACAAAATACCAAATCGACCAATATTCATTAAATTGATGAATATAATAAATGAGTTTTTACAGTCTCTCAAAATAATTTTTTTAAACACTGGAGCTAAAAATTAGGAACCATCGGTCTTGAAAATTCAATCACAATTAGCACGAGTTTTTTTCTGTTTCGATTACAGTGTCTAATAATTTCCTGTTTGAAAACCACTGATTGAATTTCAATGAGTTTTTAATTTATGGCTTGATGTGTACAATGAGAAAGTTTATACAACAACCGAGTTTCTTATACAGATTATTTGCAAATTCACACGAACGCAACATTTTTGTTACATAAAAATTGAATGTGTTAAAAGTGCGAAGGGCATGGCACGTGGGCGATAACTTAAAAGCTGAAAAAATTAAAAGATTTTAGATATTCTTTCAAAAGTTGGCAGTATTTATTCAATTTAATAAGTAAGTTCACATTTTTTCGTATGTGATGAACTGAGATTTTCTTTATTAATAACAGAGTTCTATTGCATAGAGATTCTCTGTTGAGAAATTCTCTTTTGATTATAGATCGCTCTCTTGATTTGGGCTATGTGAAACTATGTCCACGGGAGTGGGCAGTCACCTTAGAAACTATTATACAACAAAAATAGAAAACAAAAACATGTAAAAGAGTAATTAAACTACAGTGAAAAAAGTTTTATTGACCATAAATTGACTCAGGCCCTGGGTCTTTTACCCTGGTTTTCTCTCTTTCTGACATTTTTTACTAAATTTGAAGCAACTGCTAATAAAATACAGGGGTTTTGTAGCTAGCGGAGGGTGCAGGGGGTGAACACATTCACTTCCTCATTAGTTAGTTTGTGGATCTTTAGTTGTTCCACACAATCCATTGTTAAGTAAAATAGCACCAAAACATCTCTCCATCTTTATCATAGTCTGTAACTTTTCTAGAGGACCCTCCACCCCCTGATCGGGCAAATCAAGCTACCTCAGAGACTGCCAGACAGAGAGCTTGTTAAGATGTTACAACCACTCCATCAAACTGTGCTTCATGATTTCTACAGAGAAGGATGTTTTAAGAAGGTTTAGGGGATATTTTTGGTTTGGTTTTATATATATTATATTGAATGATTTGGCTTCAAATCAACTTTCAAAATGCTTCAAAAACAGCTGACATTAGACACAGAATATGTGAAGCCATGGCCCATTAGATATTAGACATACAACAACTTTTTAAGAATGCTATTTTGTTCAGGTCAATGGAAAATCAATTCAACATTTGCATGTTACCTGAAAGGTGAAAAAATGGCTGTATCTTCTGTAAATGACATTTTGTGTACCATCGTTCCAAGTTATTTCTAGCACAAATACCTATTGAAAAAAATGGGTGCTCAGTAGAACATGTTGTTTACCCTGCAAATGGATGCAACCTTTCAGAAAGATCTTCAAATGAGAAAGAGATAATCACAGCAGTGTTAACTTGAATCCTTAAAACATTTCAATCCTGCAGATAATACATTTAAAGGCACTATGTCCTGATGCAATTCACTGGCCTTTTACCGCTTAAGCAGTAGCCAGATTTTTCAAAAAAATATAAAAACAAGGATCATTTTCATGTTTATCCTACTACTTTAAATAAATCATAGTTAAAAATTGAAAAACCAAGCATCCCTCCCTAGAGACATGCCTGAAATTGTCATAGAGGAATATATTTTAAAAGAATATTTAGACTCAAATATTCTAAAATTTAAGAAGGCATCAAGATTAAAAGTCAGGCCCACAAATTTTGCCAGTATGATTCTCTGTGTAATAAAAGTTTTTCTCAATAATTGCAAATTCTAAATGGCTTTTTGAACTTCCAATTTCCAACAGGTCTGATTTTCACAAGTTATTGTGTGACTTAATGCAAGTTTTAGGCAACATTTCAAAATCCTGCCAAAGGATATATTTTTTGTTGCCTTATCCAGCCTCAGAATAATGAATAATAATAACAACAATAATTAGTTCAAGGGATACTTGAAATTTTACAAAAGCGCCGCTTGGCTAGATATAAGAAATTACATTATAGAAAACAAAAATCATTTCTAAAAAACCGGGTGTGCCCACAAAATTGGTGTGGTCTAAAGGCTGTGCAATGTCTAATCAACCAAGGCTAATTTTCAATAATTTCTCAATCATAAATGCACTGCAAAGCCTGTTGTAAACTCTGAATGGTTGACTGACAGGAAATAGTGCCTTTAAAATGACATTTCTAGAAATATAAACAATACAACATAAGTGTTGTTTTTGGAAAATACTGAAATTTATATCATGCAAGCAAATACCCTTTAGTTGGAAAAAAAAGTTTTAGCTTACATTATCCTTGAAAAAATTTCTCAACTTCCCAGGGTGCATTCCATGATCTTAGGTCTGAAGATCTTCTGTGTACACACAGGTTTTTGGCGTTTGCCGTGCAAACCAATAAAAAAATTGTTTGGCATACTTAAAATGTTCATTAGTTGGCATGCTAAACATGAAGCCATGTACATAGTTAATGTAAAATAAAGACTCATACACCACATTTTTCTCTAATAATCAATTTTCTTTGTCTGGCGCAACAATGTTTACAGTTTTACTAACTCAACTGCTTTTTTATTTTTGGCATACCTAAACAAATGCCCAGGTGGACTTTCGACATACAGTTGACATGGAATGCACCCTGGTCAATTTCCAGGGCATATTTGAAAACGTACAAAAATTGGAAAACATACAGCAAATAATTGTAAAAATGAAAACACATTAAATTAAAAGAATGCAGCTCATTTTTTTAAATACAAAAAGTTGAACAATAACTAATAAATCGATAAGTTTATCTAATGCTGATATTTCATCGAAAGGAATTTTGCTAAAAATGAAAAGCTGTGTCATTTTTTGAATCGTGAAAAATACTCACCACCATTGGTCACATGCTGGATACTGTATAAAATTGGACTTTTTGGAACCAAACAGCGGATATACTTAAAATGGTATTATCTGTGCTTGAATGGATCGACTTGGATTTAAATAGTAAACTGAGACAATTTTCAAATTGCCTGTGAATGTCAAGTCAAATCCTCCACTGTTTACATTTAGCTTTTGAAAGCGGAAAGGTTTCCACTTCAACGACAGGGTCAGCCAGAGAATTGCTTTAAAATTTCACGGATTTGAAATGTTTTTCTTGGAAAATGAGTATCAAAAATACGAAAGCTGACTGCCCTGGGCTAAATACGCCGATAATCAATAAACGCATGCTGCTTCCCGCAATTTTCTACAGAATTCCCGGCTTAGATCCAGCTAGATTGCACACCCACAGGCGAAATTATTCGCATACCAACATACTCACATAATGTTTAGACGGTGTTCTTCTTTTTTCGATATCCATAACGTTTATTTCCCTAATTTTCTTCTTGTTGCCGGCTTCCATGTTGTCAAACGTGATTGTTATGTTAGGCCCGGCGTATGGTGGGTGGTGTGGTAATTTCACTTCAATGCAATGTACAAAGTGACTGCGGCTTTTTAAATCTTACCAATTTAATCCCTTTTATATGTATTGAATAAAGGATTGTTTTTAACAGCTCTTGTATGTAAAATGAAACTCTGTTTGCTTTTTGTTTCGGAAAACTGAGCTACAACAACCACCGACTGTGATTACTTCCAATCCAAAGCAACAACAACATCACGAATGTTTTACACCTCGAACAGGAAAGCGAACAACCGACCTTCCTTTCTCCTTTGTCTCAAAACATTTTTTAATCAGCATTAAATGACTCATGGATCTGATGTGCTATCTTCAGGTATCCTCATTGTTAGTTATTTGGAAACATTACGCCATAAGGTGCTAATAAATAATTTTGAGTGGCCGTTTGGGGCTTCAGTTTTTCTCGTAGGGCTATTTCAGGCCGTGCCATCTAGGGGGAAAACTTTATCTGCACATCTGTAATTTAATCTCAAAGATAACATAGGTATAACCCGCATTTGAAGTAAAGATCAACAAGGCTACAATGGGTAGTAGAAAATATTTGGCAGCATCTCTTGTTAGCAATCCAGTGGAAAATCTCGGTGTTCGAAATAGTCTAGTAAAACGTTTTTCAAGATGTTGTCCGAGGCATAACCGAGATTCGTCTTTAATAATTTGTAATTATCAATGCATTAAATTTCATCCTCCTTAGCAGGGCGAAGATTTTTCATCAATCGTGTTAATCTGAATACCAAAGCCAGAAGCCATATTCCAGATTAACAGTAGCAAGGGGCTAGGAGCTGGACTGGAGCTCCTTGACGTTTGAAGTTCTTGCAAGTCATTCGAGGCTCTAGCACCCAAAGGGCCTATATTTTAGCCGTATACATATTGTATACAACAGACTAGACCTGAACTTGCCTAGAAGTTAGAAATTTTTGCTTATTGTTCACCATTAGTGATATTGGCAAAGACGGATTTAAGTGGCAAGGATTTTGGGGTTGTTTGATAATTATCAAACTACCCCTCTCCCCTCCTTTGCTACCATCAAACTAATATTTTCAACTTTGTAGCAAACGATGAAATGGTAGAGAAAGCCATGAAAGTTTAATGGTATCAGGAAGGCAACGAAATTTATCCATAATGAACTTTAATAGATGAAAAAACCTTTAAACTGCATAGTAGCTCAGCCATGCAATATTATACCCATGCAGCAAATTATTTTTATACCCAACACTCCAGTACTAATTACATACAGATCGATCCAAATTGCATTGCTTAATATGTATACTCTAGATCATGAATAAAAATCAACAACCGAAGGATGTTTAATCGGTATGAATTAATCTTTACCAATTAGATTCATGTTTATATCCTTGAAAGAAAATGAATTTCTTCATTCACAAAAACATCCATTTTGTTTTTACAGGTTTGTTTAAACAATAAAATTCAAATTTTTTAAAACATTTTTATCTTCAGTAAATGAAAATTGAATTCTCCGAGAGAGAATAATCATATGGAAAGTCCAGGAAGAATTTGTATAAATTCAAAGAAAAATAGATGCAAAAACACATTTTTCAGTTCAAGATTAGAAATTATATTGCATTTAATGAGTATTTTGCTTTATTTTCATCAATTTTAGAGAACCGTTAAGGTGAAAAGTCAGTTTCTTCGTTGCAAATATTTGCGTATTTCCTTTGTTTTCGAATTGCTTGGATTTATAACTGCTATCTATTAAATCTATCAAGCTAAAAAAAGAAAAACTCGTTAGTTTTTAAAAAAGGATTCTGTAAACTCAAATTTTACCTTTCCATTTCCCTTGAAAAAATGAAAAAACAGATGACAAGTAAGCAAGACCTTTTCAGAACAAGAACTGAGATTGTTAAAAGCCTTTATGGATGAGTTCGAGAGGCATGGCCCCGGGGAAATCTTTTGAAGGTTAACGCCAGATAAAAGCGTTTGGAAAAAACCTTTTCAAAGAGTGACAATGCATAATAGTGTTACAAAAACGAAGGCACATCTCCAGGTTTCTCTTATCATCAGATTAAGGAAGCAGCCCTTCTTGGTACTTTATCTAATCAACCCAAATTATCGCAAAGACAGGTTATAACGACATACACATAAAGGGTATATTGCTGCTAAGAAAAGCTGACATAGGCCCCAGGACAACCAAAATGTCTAGGCCTTGACTTCATATTCTTTTCACAAATGCTGAGCGATTTAACTTTTCGCATGTTTGTCAACACCACCTCCCCCCCTCTCCCCCAGCCCAAAATTTGTTAGCCTCCCAGCCTATAATACGCTCCGCAGTCTTTGCCGCGATCACATCATCTTGAACCAAATCTTTTTCTTCACATGCACTAAGTGAGGGCTATATTTTGATACCTAAAACTGAATGATCGACTTATGCAGCAGTTAGCAGTTTAGTAATTATAGCAATATTTACGTTACTACATAGTATTATATACTTTAAAGCTATCTTTTCAATCCATACAAAAAGGTTCGTCATTGTATGACGCATGCGAAATGCTATCTAAAATTTTCCTCTCTTTTTCTTGTTTCGATTAAAATTTAAACACTGAAACTTTATTGAAGACAGTCCCTTTGCTCTGTCCCCAATTTATGTTGCCTGCTTGATATTCAACAAAATATAACCTAAATCAAAATGAGTGTAAAGATATACCGGTTTCTAAAAATTATAACAAACTTATTTTGTCGACAAGGACATTATCACTTATATATGCCTGTGTTTTAAAAGTGACCTCCATTCTTAATTGAGCCAAGTAATAAATCAGCGGATAAACTTTAATCCGACAGAATACTGTACCGGGACAAGCGTTAGTTTATCTTTTAATATCAGAATAAAAGTCAATAAAAGTTTTTCATAAGTCAATTTTGCACCCTTCTTTTCAAGAATGATGTCGAAATGGGACCACCATTAGGCGAGTTTGCAACTTTCCAGGAAGTGTAAGTACATCCATAAGCTTTTTTGAAAGACTAGTCTTTACCGCCTCCAAGAGTTGGCATATCTTTAAGAGGAAAAATTGTATTGGCTCTGTTTGTTTGTTCGTTCCCTTTGCTAAAACCAAAGGCAACTTTAACGTATGTTTTAAAATTACCGTCGGTTAATGCATAGCAGATAGGCAACAGTGCAAAACTTCCATAAGCAAGGGTGTAGCCTATAGTATACGCATCATTGTAGTAATATGGCGGTATGTAATTTGCCAGGACTGCTATGATACTGAATGGGATCCACATGGCGATGAACACCACTGCAAAGTAGATGTTTGCGTTCACTTTCTGCGTGTGAAGACCTCTAAGTGACGACTGCCCAACTCTTGAAGCTTGCTCAGCCAGAGTTTTCCGTATTTTTGAAACATCTTGAATGATGAAAGTGAAGCATACTCCAAAGACTAGTCCTGTTTTGACACCTTCAGCGATGCCTAGGTAATAATGTGTGGTCTTTTTGTGTATTTCATCTGGCTGGCATGGTGCTGTATTATTGGTTACCATAAGATACAAATAGCCAATAGACAGGAAGAGATTTGGAAAGAAACTAATGGCAGCTGCAACTGTAACAATCAACCGCCTGTTGGCGAGGGTGACGCAAGCAACTTTTCCAAAGGGCACTTTCACGATGAGGTCGCGTCGATAATGACACAGCGTGCTTAAGATGATCAAGGAATCATTGCTAAAAATGAATGTGAAGAAGTACCTTGCGAGGCAGGCAATGTTGCAGCTCAGCTCCCCGTTGCACAGCAGCACATGTAAATTGAATGGCATCGCAATGCAGCCAACCAAAAGACTAGAAATAGAGAGATAACGAACAAGGAACTTCATTATGCAATTTGTCACAGTTATGCCATGGAAGGAGAATCGAAGCATCATTGCACCTCCGGCTAGTGTCAGGATGATAAACACAACTGTAAGGAAGGCAAGAAAATCCCGCAGCACTGAGCTGTTCATTTTTAGTGTGTCATGAACTGTCCTTTTTCAATGGAACATCAAGGCAACGTGTGTTGATATCTGGAATAACAAAGCAGTAAAGCAAATAAATTCTCTGTTCTACATTCACGTTAAGATTATCTTTGTGTTTTAACTCAAACGCATTTTCTCGTTTATGATTAAATAGTAATTTTTCTTTGATATTATAAATTTTTACTCCTTTAACATATTTTGCTTTCTAGCATAACATTCAAATAACAAATTAAAGCATCGCAATTTCAATATAAAGATGAAAGTCTTTGTCCGGTGGCCTAAAAGAGACCAAAAACTTGCTTGCAAATAACCTTCAATAACACAAAATGTAGTGTTCATATTTAATTCAAGTTTGGAAACTGATTCCTGAGTATGCAATTTAAGAAAATAAAATGAAATATTCCAAGCAACGAATTGGCAATTTTTCAAAACAGCCTGTATTTGCTTTCTGTTGATTCGTTTGACCAATCACTTTGTAACAGAAGGACTTTTCACAACATGAAGTCCCGCGTTATAACGTGCTAGTAAAAAATGCTTAAAAGTTGTATGTCGAAAAGCTCTTATAGCATACGAGTTGCGTTTTGTGTTCCATCGAAACTCAGCAATTTGTAGAAGGAGTCAAATAGACGTATATTGCGTTATGGGCTCTTTTTAGATAAACTTGCAGAGAATTTATACGATAACTATGTAGAGGAGGTGCCTACTAGAAAGGACACTTGTCTTTGACGTACAGCATAACGAGGAAGAGTGGCAAATGCTTTTACTTGCTGCCTTTAACCTCCCTAGTGTTGTCATGCGTAAAAATCCGGGTCAAATATGGCTTGAATCATAACACCTTCAGCACTAATTTCAATTGCCCTTACCACCTTCAATCTACATCAACTCACCGGGAGAGACTGCCAGATGGTAATGATAGAAATTCACAAAGCAAAATCAGGCCTAAGACGGTCTAACTCCTATCTATCCAGAGGTAATCGGCAAAATACGACATGCTTGACACCATCACATTAGTGGAAGTATGGAAATTTTACCTGCTGAATTTAAAAACGAAAAGCCAATTTGCAATTTCAAAGCAGATATGAGAACACCAAAATGGTAATTGTAGGATATGTAAATATTTTTTTCAAAAACTGGGATTTCAATTTATGTGTTTTTGTAAATAGTTGGCCTTATTGGC